CCAGAGCTGCAGTAGCTTTTCTCGCCACACCCTCATGTCAAGCTTTTGTCTTGGCAAATTGAAAGAGCAAGAGGCTTCCTGCTTGGCTGCCACGTCAACTATTTCGTTGAAAAGTTCACCCGCGTGTGCTCGCACATGATGAACCAAAAAGTCACCGTTTGGCAATGCCAGGTCAAGGGCCTGGTACAGTGCTCTCATGAGGCAGAAAGACTGGTCCGGATGGGCCGTGCCTATCTCTCCACTGGCTTGACCCGCACTCAACATTGAATCAGTGCACACCACCGTGGGGATCGCGTGGTTGCAAGAGAGACGCCACATTGCTGCTCCAATCAAACCATCTCTCTCCGCCATATCCGAGCCGAGGCGGCTGATGCCAGTGAAGGCAGATCCATCTGGGTCCCATCTCACGGGATGCGCCGTCCAGCCAAGAATCGTGAGGTTTGTGCCAGTGGGTGCCTGGTGGTCAAACACTTCTCCAATGACAATCATGGCCCATGTGTCAGGGTGACCAAGATCATCCGCATGATCAGGCACCATTCTTCTCATGCTTGGTTTGGACGACCCATCAGTAAAAATGAGCAGGTGATCATATGCATCTAGATCCTGGATTCCTTGAAGTGGTCTGATGGGCCATTGTGCGAGTTGCTCTTGTAGTTCAGGAGTGAGATCAATTGGGCTGAGGTCAGTGCAAAGCATATCGATCCCAGAATTGAAAAATGTGTGCAAGTCCTTCACATCAAACGCTGTGGTAAGAGAACATTTGGCTTGCAATGGCACCCGTTCTTGATAGTCAATAAGCCTCTGTTGTGTGCGCTTATGTCCCAGCGTGCCCAACCATGGCGTCCTCGTTCGCACAGGGTGATGTAGAGGTGCAAGCTGTGGTTCACTGTGATGAAAATTGACCTTGAACCAATTCGGGCATAGCCAAATGACATCAAGGATGACCGCTCTGGCATAGCCCAATGAACATAGAAAGGTCATGAGTTCGCCTTGCTGCAATTCCGATTTCGCACTGTGAAGAAAACAACCATCTTGATCATGAATATCATCATGGCAGAAAAGATAATGATTCAGATCCGTAGGTTCCTCATGAGTGTTGATGCAGAGGAAGAGGTTGTGTGGCTCACAGGAAAATACTTGGCAAACAAATCCCCAATGCCGGAGCTCTTGTTGAACTTGGTCGCAGTCACCCGGCATGTCCACTTCAAGTGGAGATGGCATGGTGCCCGGGCCTGATGCTGCCATAATACGTACGGCAGTCTTGGCAGGTATCAAGTGGTCAAGCTCAATGGTAAATTTGTTTTTGCGGTTTACACTCTTTTGCAATAGTCCAACTTCTTCATCTTCAAATTGCTCCCAAACTTGCGCTGGAACTGCAGTGCTAGGACCAGGCAACTCCTGATAAATGAGCACAATGGATAGTCCATGCCAGTTCCTCAACGCAACTCTTCCACGTAGTTCGAAGTCGCCATGCCAAGTCATACATTGCAGATGAGATCTTTCGGGATAACAGCTGTCAATGTAGTTGATCGCGACAATGACATCATCCTTGCTCAAACGGATGGGCGCAAAAGTTGCAATATCTTGTACCCCTTCAGGAAGTCGTGGGTCAACAATCGTGAACAAGTTGGCAACTTGGTCATGAAGTGACCTTTGCACAACAATAAGATGTAGTGCGCCTCTGGATCTCCGACTGGTCGCTGGAGGCTGTGGTCTGACCAAATAAAGATTGATGGGCCAAGCAGCATCAATGCGGTCATCCCAAACTTCAAAGATCTGTTGGGCCCACCTTGTGAAATCCCATGACAATTCAACTTCTCTAGGCTGAGTGCATGTTGTGAATCTCTCAAAGTCCAAAAACCATGTATGGACAACAAGCGACAGTGTCTCGTCTGTTGGCTGTTGCGCCAATTGATGCGTCCAAAGTTGATAGAGCTCCTGAATGGTTGCTGGCTGCGCTAATAGTCCTTCTTGAGGATCAGCTGGGAATTCTTGTAGAAGTTCCTGATCAGCTCTGGTCAGCGAAGCATAGTCAGGCAGTTCCTCATCAAGGCGATCAAATGGACACGTAAGAAGATCTTGACCCAAAGTGCTTTTGAAATCACCACGCAAACAATTGGGATAGTCCTGCAGTGCTGGTGTACGATGTGTATCCAGCTGAAGGAAACTTTGCTCTTCACCTGCTTGCATTCGAAATTCACGGGGTAACCGTGGTGGGTCAATGACATAGTCATACCAGCCCAACAAGTACATGGTGTGCCGATCAAGGACATCTTGAGGTAGCAGTCCCCGGTAAAAGGCCGTAGCTACGCATCTAGTGGAGATGTGGTCAAACCTATCTCCCGGCGGAGGAACTGCAATCCTCAGAAAATCACCATGCACCAAGTGAAGCTGTTGATGGCCTTGGGCAATCAATTCATTGTTCTTCCATACCAAACATCTATTCTGAAGGTGTTGACAGAAGGGCTGAAGCCCTAGCCAATGAAGTAGTTGAAATCGTGTGGTGCCTGTGACAAAGACTCTAGCTTGCCGTACCACTTCGGGCACTGACGCAATGTTGCTGGAGTGGAACTCAACGTCAACTAGCACAATTCTTTCCATTGATCCTGCTGCAATGTCAGTGGCACGCTGCACTACTACAGGTTCAACATATGCTTGAAAAAGATCATCAGGAGGATGTCGTACACGATGAACATGATAAATATCCGCTGGAAAAAGGTGAAGCTCATGGGCAATGCTGTCATGAACAAGGTCATAGTTACGCCAATCCAAGCGCAATGTGGTGGCCTGTCTGCGCAAAGCAAAGATCAGCGTAGTTCTCCAACTGCTTCGAGTTTGGATGTCTGCCGACCATGAATCTTCTGATAGTGCTTCATCCTCTGTCACTTCGACATTTACTGCAATTGCTCCTTGATCGATGATTTGTGGCTCAGGAACACGTTCTTGGACAGGTGGTGGTCCAACATCGTGATGCGCCATGAAAGAAGTGTAATCAACTTCCCAATCATGATGAAAGATTGATGCTCTATGATATGGAACTTCTAGAGCATGAGGCCATTTCCCAAACTCAACTGTGTCCTCTGGGCCCACATAGAGGTCTACAGTGGTGGCAAATCGCAATTGTCTTCGGCGTCGGGAGTGGTTGACCGGCTTGAAAATGGTCCAATCGTTGTCATGCAATGAACAACCCAGCTCAAAAGCAAGATCGATGGCCTTGATACTAGCCTTCCACTCCGACACAAAGATGTCCTTTGATACAATGCTATGGGTCCAAATCGGCGCCTGGCAAACCTCAGATTTGTCTATTTGCCCGCCACTGCAAAAGGCTGCAGCATTCTGGCACCCGGCCCAGAGGGCCCAGATCCAGGTTCTCCAGCCCCAGCTTCTGTGCTTTCTGTTCTTGCTTTCTTGGCAGCATGCTCGTTGATGTCGTCTGGTGGCCGTACACGGACAGCTTCCAGATTCTGCACCATCGCATTGATGCCTGCCAGAATGCGCTCGGACGTCTCCACCTTGGATTGCTCTTCGTCCATCTCTGATTCCATGAGCTCGTCCTCCTTGGTGAGATCTTTGTCCCTGTTGGACAACTGCTCCTTGGTCTCGTCGAGACATTGTCGAGCTTCCTGCAATTTTTCCTTGGTCTGTTGGACCTTGGTCTCTAGCTCGCGATCTTTCTTGCCGAAGTCCTCCGCAAACGTGGTCCATCTCTTGATGGATTCGTCGAGGTACTTCGTCCACGACTCGTGAAGGTTCTGCCGTGCCTTCAGTGCGACGTGATATTTGTCGCGTGCTTGGTCCAACTTCTTGACAGCTGTGTGCATTTGGCGAGATGATGCAGTCTTCACTGATCCTTCCTCGACCAATTGTTGCACTTCTTCGGAGTTTTCCTGTTTCTCCAAAGCTGCAAGTAAACGATTGTACTTGTTCTCGAGGTTGCTGTCGGTTGGTCTTGCAGTGCTCTGTGATGGTGCAACTGGGACCTGTCCAGTTGTTTTGCTGCTCCAAGGTGGATCTAGCGCCGGAGTCAAAGAACTTTCCTTGCTTTTCTTCTTTCTTCTCGATTTGGGGGTTTGTGCCCTTCTGGAACTGTGCGGCGATGCCGAAACTTTCCTGGACGCTCTTGCGGTCCCATCGACATCTGGCCAATCCGTATAGGTCCAATCCTCTTCTGGTTTGGCTCGTCCACCATGTATGTAGGTGTGGTCGATGCAAATGTGCCATTGATAATCGCATCTCCCACATCTCAATGCCTTGGCTTTGTTGAGCCTCATGCACCATTTGCATCGCCACGGAGTAGTCTCGGACATGGCAGCAAGTATGGTCTGCAAATAATTGTTGTCCCTGGAATGATGCTTGCACAAGGTGAGGTATATTTGAGTCAGTCTGTGATGATCCAGAATACGCAAGCCCTTCTTGTGTAAATGGAAAGCACGTCTGGCTCTCGCCCTCGCCCTCCTTGATAGCCTTCTTTGAGTAGGCGTTATCGTGCTCTGCAAAGCGAAATTTATTCTCAGGGTTCCGAATCGAAAGAAAGCTGAGGAAGATCAGAAACCACCAAAACATACACAGTAATGTCCTTGAGGTCAATGACTGCGAACAGTACAATGAAGCAAAAGGAGAAATACCCGATGAAATAGGTGCAAAGGAACACTGTTGCAATATACTGACCAGGGCGACACCAGTTCAGTCAGTACCCAGGAATCATGCTGCTGGGACAGCACGCCAAAGCCACCAGTCGCTCACGAAGCCGCCAAGCGCCAGCGGGATGGCAAGGCAAACAGGATCCCGTGGAAACACACCCAAGAAAGGGTTCCACTAAGGTCAAGCAGCGGGGGGCCCCTAGGACAACTGTTCGTCCGCTTGAGCTTAACCTTGAGCCAAAATGGCTACGGACATTCCCAGTCATGGCTGGTTTATGACATTGTTTTACCCACATTATCCACATTACCAGTATTATTTGTTGATTCTTTCACCACAATCTCCGACACCACTTTCCTGTCCTTGTCCCGTCAGTGCCATCATGCTCTTTGGCAAGTTTGCGCTCCCTGATGTGGGTCCATAGACGAAGCCAACAAAAATGGGATAATGTTGCAAAATGCCGCAAAATTGGAAAACACCAGCTACTTGTGAAAATATCTTCTCTTGCCGAGCAGCCATGCTTAGACATTTTCCTTGGAGTCCTCAATGTACTTTCGACGTGCATGCAACATATTGTGCAGCTCGTGGCTGAAACATTGGAAGCCATCATCGCCACAGTCTTCGTGGTAGCTCCAATCCAACAGCAACAAGGGTTTGGAGCTGTACTTGTCGAGGAAAGGTCCCAGAGTATGGAGGTCCAAGACAACATTTCCATCGAATTCCACCAGCCACTCCCACTCACCATTCCTCACCGTGACGCTGACCCGAAGAAAGTAGCAATCCAAAGGTTTAAACAAGATTCATTGGCATTCATTGGCATTGGCTTCAAGTTTATCTTGGATGCTTTCGAAAAACCGGCAATGATTGATGCATATTGATGCAAGGTGCAGAAGCCAAGATGGTGGAGTGAATTTTAAGAGTTTGGACGTCAAACGGGCACCAGTCACGAATTCGCTTCCCGCTTGCAAGGTCACGGACTTGACTTGCCAGCCCAGTTTTTTCCAAAGGTTCAAAGAATTTGAGTCCGTGCGTTCCTTCGTATCATCATCTAAAAATAGAAAGGCCTGAGTAGGGCTGCAAAAATGTGCAAAAAATCGGGACCTTGCGAAACGTCAATTTCGAAGGCAGAAACCAAAGGGTTTGGAATGAAATTCAAAACAATGGCGCCATATTTTGTCTAAGGCACGTCCACATTGCTGGGGACACATGGTACATTGTCATCTCGCATACCACCTTCATAGGATCCAATGTTGTAGGTGTAAACCTCAGACGGTATAAGATAACAAATGAACTAAATCAACCACTGCAAAAATGTTCAAGTAGCAACACACAAGTAACAACTAAATTCTTGAGGCACAGACAGCAATGTGTTTCCTTGCGTAGTCGCCCAAGGATCTTGTTCTGTGAGCATCGCAGGTATATTCCTCTCTGCAGTTCGGAATCTCTTTCATCTCATCAACTTTCAAATGACTGATTGCGTGCTGCGCGTGTTCGCCACGTTTCTTCGTGGAAAGGCGCTTGGCGTGACCATGTTTGGCATGGTGAACTTCAGGACGTTTCAGCAAGTCAAATTTGCCATCATGCCTCAAGCAAGGCGATTCCACAAAGTTCCCAAATCACTTCTCGCGCCAATCCACAATTTATTGCACTTTCAACTCCAAGTGACCGGATAGCAACATCTCTTCTGATCAGAACATTCTCTTTGCAACTCGCCAAAACCAAATTTACCTGACCAACGCGGGGTCGCATCAAAACTCATCAAAATGTTCAACAGTTGTGATTCTGCCATGGTTCCATGGTTGATCAACCACTGAGTGCTGCACCAAGACAAGAAAAACGCATGGCCATCGGGATCCGCACATCGCCATACAGCCTGGGCGACGCGAAAAAAAACGGAATTGTCTTGGGATTTTTTTTGGATTTCCAGCCGTGTCCATTTTCCATGCTATCTGCAGCAATCTGGAGTTGGAAACTGCCATTTCAACGGTATTTACAACGTTTTTGAGTTCGAACATCTCATTTTCCATGGTATTTGCAGCACTTTGGTGCTCAAACTGTTCATGCGACATGCTAGTTTGCAACTGGGGTTTATGTAGTAAGGTTTTTTTAAGGGTTGGTTTAAGTTTTTTTGAAGGTTGGTTTAATTTAAGGTGTGTTTGGGGTTGGTTTAAGGTTTGTTTGAGGTTGGTTTCCGGTTTATTTATATAGGTTTGGTTTAAGATCTATTTAGGGTTGGTTTGGATTAGGGTTGGTTTTAGGGTTCATTTTTTTAGGTTTGGTTTAAGATCTATTTAGGGTTGATTTAGTGTTTATGTGGGTTTGGTTTAGGATCTATTTAGGTTTGGTTTACAATTTATTTAGGGTTGGTTTAGGGATTATTTAGGGTTGGTTTAGGGTTTGTTTACGGTTGGTTTAAGGTTTGTTTGGGGTTGGTTTAGGGTTTATTTAAGGTTGATTTAGGCGTGGTTTAAGATCTATTTAGGGTGGGTTGGTTTGGGAATTATTTAAGGTTGTTTCACTTTTATTTAGGGTATGTTTAGGGTTCACTTAGGGTTGTTTTAGTTTTTTGGGTAGTTGGTTTAGGGTCTATTTACAGTTGATTTAGGGTTGTTCTAGGGTTTATTCATATGATGTTTTTTAAGGTTTATTGATGGGACAAAAAACTGCGAAAAGCAGAAGAACCCGGAAAAGCAGAAAAGCGGAGAATCAAAAAAAAACAGAAAAACTAGCAAAAGCAGAGAAAAGCAAAGAAAGGCAGAGAAAGCAGAGAAAAGCAAAGAAAAACGGAGAAAAACTGAAAAAAATGGAAAAGGAACAGAGTAAAAAAGAAAAGCGGACAAGCGAAGAAGTAAAAAAACAGGGAAAAAAACAAAGAAAAAGGGATCGAGATATCAAAAAAACTATATAAACGGAAAAGAAAATATAAGGGGAGTATATATATATATATATATAATTCCCTAAACGAATAGCCCTCCTTTGCAAAATCCATTTCCGCAAATTCAAGTGTCATCGAAAGTCAAAAGTTCGTTTTCGCTATAAAAATGGTGCTACCAATGTGAATCTATCGAATTCGGGGAAAACCTTATGTTATTCCGGTTGTTCCCATCCAAGATTTGCGCGAAAACTCCCCACCAAAGCTGATGCAAAGCCACCGGATCGCACACGTCGCGGTGGCTTCGGCTGGGTGGCCTACTAGAAACGACATGCCTGAAAGCCTCGACAGAGGTTCCCACATCATCCATGTCCGGCACCGTGGTCTTACACCAATTGGTAGTTATGGATGTTGGTCATCCCAGTCGCATGATACCCAGTTTCGTTTGACAAAAACAACCATGGAAATTTGCAAGAGAAATTTGAACAAAATTCCGAACCAAATCACAAACAAATGCAACTACACAGGGATAGTTGTAAACAAGGGTTCTGTTTTTTTGCAAGTTTGCGTTTCAAAAGTCGGTCTACCAAATTCAATAGATCCTACGCATACCCTCTGCACATAAAACGTTGGATCGAGCGTGGCAGTTTAAGTTACCAGTGCGTGGAACGTTGGCGACATGGTGACCAACGGTTTGCACTGTCCTTACTTCAGTTCTAAAAGGTCATGGCTCATAACATGAAACAAAGCCAAGAGTGCAAAAATCAAACACTATAGACTACCAGTAGTATCCGCACGAGGCGGGGCGGAAGTTGCCTTAAAGATATATATAAGAACTTTCTCATCTATAGAACATGCGTGCGCCGTGCGCCAGCCAAGCCCGTGCGCGCGTGCACTCTGCGAAACTGGTGTCTTGTTTCACATGTCACATTTGAAGCTCCACGTCACACTTCACACTTGACAGTCTTCACACTTCCCACTGCACTCTTCACACTGCACCCTTCGCAGTCAACACTTCACTTCACGCTGTACTCTTAAGACTCCACACTTCACACTTCACACTCCACACTTCACACTGCACTCTTCGCACTCCAAACTTCACACTTCACAGTCCACACTTCACGCTTCACACTTCACACTTCACAGTCCACACTTCACACTCCACACTTCACACTGCACTCTTCACGCCCCACACTTCACACTGCACCCTTCACACTCCACACTTCATCTCATCTCTTCTCATATGTCATCTAAGCTTTCATGAATGACTTCCCAATACTACTAGAAAGGAACTTGCATGCGCAGTGCGCCAGCCAGGCCTGTGCGTGCGTGCTTTGTTCGGACCTGTTGCAATGTTGTTGCCCAAGAACATAACCTGCGCGCATCCCCGGTGCAATGCAACGTCACGCAAGCACTTTCCTCACACATCACATTGCACCCTTCACACTTCACATCTGAGCTCTTTTCATCTGGTTTCATGTCTTCCCATATGTCAGCTACGTTTTTCTTGGCTATGTTCATGTCATCTGAGCGCAGCTCAAACTTTCTCATGCGTTGGACCTACTTTCAACTTATCTCGGCGCTTCTGCACGTCAGCAAGGTTGAGCGTAACTATGTCGATTCTTCTACATGCCAAAAGGCGTAGACCATAAAATTTACAATATTGAGGTCATTCATGCCAAGCGTTGATGCATTGCATCAAATCGCAACGGCAAGTGTAAACATGGTGTAGTTGTTGCCTGTCAAGGAGATTCACGCAGTCCAAGCTCGACAGCTGCTTTTTTCTCTGCGCTACACTTGGTCGTCTGGGCTTTTGGCAGCTTTTTCGGCCCGCATTGGCACGAAAGGCTGGAGAGCTTATCACGGTTGGCCGTCATGGCACTTCACGAAGCAAATCAGGCAAGAAGTTCTCACTATCTGTAATGACATTGCGGACCCAAGCTGCATCTGCTTGCGACAAACGACATTCTGCACCTGCTCGGTAAGCACTCAACAACATGGCCGCAGCGTGCACACCATCATCTGTCAGGGCGGGCAACGCAGCGCTGTTCTGCCAACGTATCGTCTTGTTCCGTGCAAACAGTTGTGAAGGCTTCGAAACAACCAGCGCAGAGTCCATATTTGAAGTAACCCAAACCAATATTCCTGCGCTCCTCGGTTGGGATACTTCGTCTGCACGCGAAGCACCGCGAATTTTGCAACGCGTCGTAGACGTGCAATGCAATCTTCAAGCTATGCTTGAGCGCTGCCATTTCTTCGAAGCCAATATCAATCCTCAAGTTTTGCGACCCACTTTGCGTTGCAGCAAGTTTCTTCGGTTGGCGCTCTGCAGCACACAAGCATTCGCTGTCGAAGCAGCGCTCACGTTGCTGAGCGCATGGAGATCCAGCAATTCGAAATCGAATGCAAACCGTCAGACGCCGCAAGGTCCGATTGCCATGGCGGTTGCCCTCGTGGACCGGCAAAGCGATTCTCTAACAGCAGAGCGAAGCTGCAATATGAGTTTCCTGTCGTGTAACACAGTAAGTAGAGACATGGAGGTATAGCAAGGACATGTGCGTCACTGCATGAACTAAAAATATTCCGTGCGACTTCTCTTGCTGTACTTTATCCTTTGAAGCCATCACTTCAAACAGCTGCAAGCACGTCAAACCAGAGACACGACATCGATGCTGGCATTCAGTCTATCATGCATAAACACATCGTTGCAGTGTGGAGTAAACAGTGCTTCACATAACAGGAAACATCCAACAATCCATGCACTCATCCTGTTCTGATTCGCATTCCCCAGTTTCTTCACAAACTTTGAATTCCTCATGTGTCCTTTTTTACCATGCCTTTTTGTGCTTGGCATCACACAGAAACTATTTTATTTTTGCATCAAACACCATTGAAGCTACACGTCTTTACTTCAGAAGTAAGCAGAACTCAGAACCCAGCGCGATGCAGACCATGGACCTTTTTCATCTCACTCTGAATCCTTGGCAACAATCATGCCTTGATCACGCGGCCCGCACTGGCACGCGCGCCATGGCAGTGAGTGTCCTGCACGCGCAAGCATCAGCGATGCAACAGCAGATCGTCTTTGTCCAGACAACCAGCCATTACAATGCGATCTGCAGAGAATGAGTTGCAAATCACAATACAAGGGAGGCCCCCACCGTGTCTCCAAAAAGTCTGCTGATTTCAGGTGCTAGAAACGAACCCTCTGGACATGGCGAGGTGCTGCTCCTAAAGTGACAGAAAGATCAGCAAATGTGGAAACACTTTCCCTGTACATTGCCAAATTTTGAAGGGTGCAAAGGTGCAACTTTTTCAGGGTAGGAAACAGAACCTTTATAGTTTCTTATTCACACTTCCGAAAGTTGCACCTTTGCACCCTGGTTTTAATCTATCTATTTTGTAGACGCAAAATAACAGAAATTGACCGCGCTGTTATTCCATCCGAAGTGGTTAGACTGGAACCTTATCCGCCACAATTTCTCAAATTTGGGCACGTTCCCCCGCACCCCTCCAAACAATGATTGAGAAAAATAAGATAATGATTCTTTGCAGCATCTGCACTTTGATCTTTGTTTCGGGGGGAAGGGGGGATGCCGGGCCTGTCACATGCACTTGTGCCAGCTCAGGAGTCCAAGAGGTGGTCGTTTGGACGGCTTTTACTTCTGCCTGTCATTCAGAAGGGTCTATTTTTGGGCCCGAAAAAGTCAAGAAAAATTAGACACGCAAATACGGGCCTCCCCAGTTCAAGATTCCTGCCACGGATGCTGTTTGTGTTAAAGTAGCTTCAAGCTTGACATTTTGCGCACATAGCAGCTTGCAAAGCTTCAGCACATCTGACAAAATGAAGGGACCAAAAACAAGCCCGCCAGGAGGGACCACTTTCGATCCTAAGAGGATGCACTTTTGGGTCCCTTCTGAAATATATTTGCTTTGCGCAAGGGTCCAAAACTGGGCCCTCAGCATTCTGAATCTGGTGCCTCCCTGGGGGCTTGTTTGACGCCCCATTCAAATACTCTCTTGAGGCGCGTTGTTGGAATCAGGCGACAAACATCAGCGTCACACATCATAGCAACTACGAGTTGGCAACCAGGGCCTCGAACAGTTCAAGATTCCTGCCACGGATGCTGTTTGTGTAAAAGTAGCTTCAAGCTTGACATTTTGCGCACATAGCAGCTTGCAAAGCTTCAGCACATCTGACAAAATGAAGGGACCAAAAACAGGCCCGCCAGGAGGGACCACTTTCGATCCTAAGAGGGTCCACTTTTGGGTCCCTTCTGAAATATATTTGCTTTGCGCAAGGGTCCAAAACTGGGCCCTCAGCATTCTGAATCTGGTGCCTCCCTGGGGGCTTGTTTGACGCCCCATTCAAATACTCTCTTGAGGCGCGTTGTTGGAATCAGGCGACAAACATCAGCGTCACACATCATAGCAACTACGAGTTGGCAACCAGGGCCTCGAACAGTTCAAGATTCCTGCCACGGATGCTGTTTGTGTTAAAGTAGCTTCAAGCTTGACATTTTGCGCACATAGCAGCTTGCAAAGCTTCAGCACATCTGACAAAATGAAGGGACCAAAAACAGGCCCGCCAGGAGGGACCACTTTCGATCCTAAGAGGGTCCACTTTTGGGTCCCTTCTGAAATATATTTGCTTTGCGCAAGGGTCCAAAACTGGGCCCTCAGCATTCTGAATCTGGTGCCTCCCTGGGGGCTTGTTTGACGCCCCATTCAAATACTCTCTTGAGGCGCGTTGTTGGAATCAGGCGACAAACATCAGCGTCACACATCATAGCAACTACGAGTTGGCAACCAGGGCCTCGAACAAGGGAGGCCCCCACCGTGTCTCCAAAAAGTCTGCTGATTTCAGGTGCTAAAAACGAACCCTCTGGACATGGCGAGGTGCTACTCCTAAAGTGACAGAAAGATCAGCAATGTGGAAACACTTTCCCTGTACATTGCCAAATTTTGAAGGGTGCAAAGGTGCAACTTTTTCAGGCTAGGAAACAGAACCTTTATAGTTTCTTATTCACACTTTCGAAAGTTGCACCTTTGCACCCTGGTTTTTCTCTATCTATTTTGCAAAATAACAGAAATTGACCGCGCTGTTATTCCATCCGAAATGGTTAGACTGGAACCTTATCCGCCACAATTTCTCAAATTTGGGCACGTTCCCCCGCACCCCTCCAAACAATGATTGAGAAAAATAAGATAATGATTCTTTGCAGCATCTGCACTTTGATCTTTGTTTCGGGGGGGAAGGGGGGATGCCGGGCCTGTCACATGCACTTGTGCCAGCTCAGGAGTCCAAGAGGTGGTCGTTTGGACGGCTTTTACT